GTGCTAATTGTCATGAGGTAAAGGTATACCACAGGCTGCTCTGACAGTCTAACAGCAGAGGCTTCCACACCACCTGGGAACGTTCCCTGGCATCAATGCAGATGTAAACAAGCAAGATATTGATTTAGCATGTAACAAAATGTTGACAGGCTTTGGAGAAACTCTGTAGGAAAACCTGCTATGAAAGTTTGAAAAGCCATATGTTCTCATACACAGTATGTTCATGTGTTTGTGCCAAAGGAGTTCAGTCTTTCAGTCCAGCCCTACTCTAAAAGGAGACTTAAATCTTTCGAAAAAAATCTGACTGTCAATCAGCTGTTAAGATGCATGTAGGTAGATCATATTTCTAAACCAAATCTATATTTATTGATCACATGGGAAGTAAAGTAGAACTCCTGAGTTAGAACACCAGCTCTGCAGTGGTTTTGTCCATCATAGACTTGTGATTTTTTAATAAATCCACGAAGTACTCATCAGTCCCTGGCAAAATCCATGTTATGCACTATCTCCTATGAATGCTTTTTCCTCACTGTTTCTTTTTGTGTACTGCTTTCTCTTTAAGGAGACACTCTTCCTCCTTTCACTCCAGCTTTAGGGATTCTCTTTTAAAAATCAGTGCTCAGCAGATGTTTCCATTGTCTCATAAAGGCACCTTTTCAGGTGTGTTACTCTCTATTGTATCTGATCGTCTGTGGAACATTGTGAGGTTCAGGCTCCTACACCATCAGCCCAAGATTAAATATTTAACTTCCTTTCACCTAGAAACAGTATTGTAAAGAAACTGATGCACAGTGAACATTACAAAGCATTCTCATGTTTTTTCCACCTTCCTAACAAGTTCGTTCCTCTCCTTGACCATTACCATCTCTTCATTGCCACGGACAGTTCATTTATCTTCTATTGTGACCATATCTTACCTTCTCCCATTTTACTCACTGACAGTACCTCCTGAAAAATCTCAACTTCCCAGGATGGAGGTTACACTGCATCAGTCCCAAACAGTGACTGAGAATGTCAGAAAAGTGAAAATTTTACTTAAGTGTAGATATTTATACAAAGGTTTATCCTTTGGACAGGACTCAATCCAGGAGAAACAGCTGGAGAAGGAAAGTTGATAGGACTCCAGACTAAAAAAACCCGGGATATTTAATAACAGTGAAGAACATAATGCACAAAAAATCAGGAAGACTTTGACACAAGACTGGCAAGGAAGCAGCTTGTTTGGGAATACTGCTTCACCTCTACTCATATAGATAAGACAGTTAATGCCTACTTTAATTCATTCCTGGAGATACACATAGAGTGATATGATTGATGTTTGAATGTGTTTTAGCTCAGCAAATCTACATATTTCCTAAAGCACTGCAACAAAAGAGTGAAGAGTGGATGGATACATGTTCTCCAAATCCAGGGGATGGTGTTCATCATTTAAAGTGTCTCTGTCCAACAGCCTGTAACATGGGGCTTCTTGTGTGGATGAAACATCAAGATTTTATTGAAACAGCAACTAGCACTTTTTCACAATTCCCTCAAACTGTTTTCATATTTGAGGGCAGATAATTACTTTCACAGGGATCCAGAATGGCTGGGTTTCATTGGTGAGGAAACCAATGAAATGATAATCCCCGAGTACAGTAAGACCCTTGCAAGATTATAGCATCCTTAACAGCTTCAAAGTGAATCACAGAGGTAACCCAAAGTCACTGAAATACTCCTGAAGTATTTCAGGCCTCTCAAATGTATTATTTAGATTATCTTTAAGTAACTTTCTAAGCAGGACATGTATGCATGTGTGTCTGTGCTCACAGATGCAAATACAAACTGAGATGATGGAGGCTGCAGCACAGAGAAAGCTTAAAGATCAGGCCAACCTTTAGCTTTAAATATCTTATCTATTACTTGGAGCATTTGTAAGACAGTAATTAATCTCAAAACAGGCAGATAAAATACAAGTTGTTTTCTGACTTTTTAAATGGCAAAAAAATTATTTTCACTATTATAAGCTGTTAAAATCACCTAGGTTAGGGGTTTAAATGACCTAGAGCCACCCACAACTAGCCTTAGGAACATATTTCTTATTCAGGCTCAGAAATGTTCCTGCATATTAAGATGTCAGAGATCATAGTTATTAAAGCACTGGATACTTTCCATAATAATCAAGACCCTTGGCCACTGTAGTAGAGACTAATATCACGTTTTTCAGACATATTTTTCCTAGTAAACTGTGACTAGCTCACTGCAGCACAAGACTGTGCCCCATCAAATCACAGTGTGAAAATTTCTCGAAGTCTGTATGCAAACAAGAAGTCCAATGAAATTCTGTTTTGACTCTCAATACTCTTCCCAAATCCACAGGCATTTAATGTGCTCAGCATTTTTTAAACTATAGCAACCATTTATCACTGATACTTGCTGTTCAAATGCTTTTGTTCTATGCTTACACAACTCAAGTTCACAGAATCAAAGCCTTGCCTGAGTGAATGTTGATATCCTCACCATCAATGCTCTCTGAACTTCTCAATTTATCACAATTAGTGTTAGCAGCTATCAGTTTTAAAACTTACTAATACATGCAAAGCACAGGCTCCATATCATATATATTTAAAAACAGTAATTTCAAACATCATCAAGAATAATGGAAATGGTTCAGATTTGGCAAGACATTTCAGGATACTTCTTTATTTTGCTAGGAAAAGGAACAGATTAAATCATCTTCAAAGAATCATGGAATATTCTGACTGGAAGTAACCCACAAGGACCACGGAGTCCAACTGTCAAATGTATTATTAAAGCTTCAACTTTCATTTTTCCTCCTTATAAGTCAGTCAGGAAAGCTAGAGTGTAACAGCAATTTCAGACCATCAGGGAGGGGAGCATGGCTGGTTAAGCGCCTGCAGAAGATGATGCAGCAGCCTTACCATAGCCAGAAAGCTTTTGTGCACAGAACAGCATGAAGGAAAGCACAGTTTTAAGAAGTGACAGAGAACCTGGTATCCTTGACCAAACATCTCCAACAACTCTAATGGCCTGAGCACATAGTATCCATTCCAGCCCAGCCCATAGGTCAGAGCATTTTGTGCAGAACATACCTTAGGTACTGGTACCCCAGAATGATCCCAGAGGGATGTTTTTTGCTGCTCTAACAATTCCACATTTACCAGCATAAAATTCAGTTACTCAGTTTTGGGGTATGCAAGCCAGTTTTGGTTGTCCAGTTAGATGATGCTTTCTATTGCTGTAATTTCTAAAAACAGCAAATAAGGAATCATAAGACAAACAAAAAATCCTTTTACCAAGGTCATCAAGGATATAGGGTGCACAACATAGTATGTGTACAGAACAGGGATTTTATTTTTTGAGTGCTCCCAGACCTCCACAGTGTAAGGGAATTAGGGAGCTCAGTGCTTTGCATTAACAGGCCCTAAAAAGATTAAATTATTGCCAGCAATAATAGTAATTACTTTGACTTAACAAATCTACATACTTCACAGATGTGGAAAGGATCTGAGAGAACAAAGGCCACACCATGCAGAAATGGTGAAAATACTGAGTGACCATTTTCTGTCTTGGAGGCACCTTTTCTCCTCTCCCCACTCTGCATTTGTATAAATATTATGTATTCATAGCTGAAAAAATTCATAGTCTGGGATGGAGAAAATAAGAGCAATTCTAATACAATGCCTGTATAAAAATTAGATTTAATGAAGTGCCTACAGTGGATTTATTTCCTGATGTTCTTCTATGGTAATAAACCCATATCCCTTGACACACTTGGAAGCAAAACCGAAAAATGAAACCAGGAAATTTCTTGGCTGCCACCTACTGTTCAAAACTTTCCTGTATCTCACAGAAAAACAAACCAACCCAAAGAACAGTCACTAACACCTTCAGGCTTTCTCATTCTCATTACTGTTCTTGCTAAAACCAATGTTTTTGGACTGCTTTTACAGACCACTGCATGTCTGTAAGGATTCTGTATTTGCCCACCGTTCAATCGGTATCAAGAATAAGAAACACCAAAGCTTCTAAACTTAATGGAACACTGTTTAAGGGAAGAACATTGCAGTATTTTAGTATTTCATGAAAAGACTGTTAAAGAAGTTTCTGATTCACTAGAGAACACTAGAGTGTGATTTCACTATACAGCAATAAGTCAGCAGTAGGACAGAGACTAAAAAGCAATGTTCAAGAAAGCTGTCTGCATTCTTATTTTTCAAGGCTTTGTGTCTCTATCGGGGTAAGCCTACAATATATTTGTTTCTCTCTCTCTCTCTTATTTTGAGAGCTATCTAGATCTATTTGTCCTTCACAACTCCTCTGCATCATCTTCTACCTACTCATTCACCTGCTTAGCCATGCTTAAAAAAACCAAATTTCATAGATCCCCACTCAGAAGTTCACAAGACTATATTTATTACATACATAAACATGCAAACATATATAGCATAACGAAGCTGCCCACATCCTCCTAGTCTGTAACTGCTCTCTCTCACAAAAAGGTATCAGATGGTGAAACAGTTTTTCAAGAATGATTACAGAGTATGACAACTGCACATACAGCACATACTAAAAAATTGAACCTTGGCAGAAAGATACTAATAGATGATCTAGTAACAACTTCAGCCTTCACAATTTCTTTTCTCTACTCTTTAGTTTCTTTTATATTCGTCAACGTTTAGTGTGCTGTGTTGGAAAAGTAATCCTGACTAGAGAATCAGCACACTGGCAGTCTGAAAGGTACAATACTCAGTGGCTGAGGAATGCAAGCAGGTCAGGGCTCATACTGTAACAAACAGAAGAAAACAAAAAAGAAAGCAAAGAAATTAAATGAAAGAAAACTTCCCACCCTGAGCACAGTAAAAAGTAAGTAGCTGGAAGAAGTGCATTACAGTTCACACACTGCACACCAGGTAATTTTGATCACTTGTGATCAGGGATTAATTATCTCTGTTGTGTACTTCCAGAGAGGGCATTTGGAGAAACTTGGTGCTTCAACCTACCTGGTTTGAAATGGGGTAAAGAGTGGACTCCAGGCCACGTATCTTCATTTGGTGTTCCAAGTACCTGTATACAAAAAAATAAATAAAACCATATTGCTTTAATAGAAAAGACTTAACAAGTCATAGCACTGTAGAAATCAACTTCAAATAGGCTTCTTAACTGGGGGATGGGGAGGAGGAAGAAGGTACAAAATGTTAAATTATGACAGCATTGCCAAGGTACCAGTGGAGTCTGTAAAGCAGATGGGAGTGCTGTGTTCCTGTCACACTGCCTGTTCAACCAATGGATGTTAAAGCTACTTTTCATTCCTAAGTATAAAGCTATCTGAGAGCACTGGTGTTACAGAGGCTAGATAATTTAGCTTAGAATCACCTTCAATCCCTAGAAACTTAAATAAGATAAGAAGATAATAAATAGATGCTAGGATAGAAGATTTACATAGATGGTAAAGAGGATGATCAAGAGTGTGGCATGAACGAGAATGCACAGCAAAGAGTTGTTATTTTAACATGGCTGCAGTACACATTAAAATAGTAATTTCTTAGGAGATACAGACTTTATTGACCCATGCATTATGCTTTGTTTCTATTCACTTCAACTGTCCTCCTTCCTGTAATGTCAGACCAACTTCCAGCATCAAAGTATTTACACTTCTCACATGCATCTTATATTCTCTGTTCACATGAAAAGTTCACTCTCCGTGCCCTTGACACAAGTAGTAATTGAAGTGAGAGAACTGCTCTAAGTAGTTCTCTCAAACCTGTTTTTGCTGCATAACACATAACTGTCAAGACTTGCTTTAAATAAAGTCAGGAGGAACACTTAAATTAACAGCTCTAGAAACACATTTCTGAATGAAATGTGGAATTCAATATTTCACTAGTAAGATCTTTCTTTTCAAAAATTTACACTCAATTTCTAACATGAATGGAAATGCTAGATTCTTTTGAATATTTGTTGTAAGCTCAGGCCCTGGAATAAAAGGTTAAATAAAAAGGATATTCTGAGTGAAAGTAATTCACATTAGTGCTGTGCTTGCTTTGCATTATCAAGGTACAGAAGCTCTGCCCCTGTCTGCACTGCAGATCATCTGAATAAATCTTTTGGACCTGTGTATCTTCAGGTGACATTCTGTGGTCACTTACCTCAGCATGAAGCAAGCCCAAAGTTAGCATGAAAATCTTTGGTCCAAAAAATGTGAAAAACAACATCTACTCCAAATCATTTGGAACTGAAGAGATTTATTTTAATTTTGTTTGCTGCAATATACATATGAATTAGGAGCATTAAAGCAAGGACAACACTCCAGAATACTTGTTTCATTTCTTAAGCTATGTAAACATTTGTTCATGTTGATAAATTCAAGCTGAAAAAAAATTCTTAGAAACAAGACTGTCTTCTTTAACTCTCCCGGAAATTTATTACATTAAATTTTAAAATGAGCTTAAAAACTTGAGACAAAAGTAAATGACCTCTAAAATAGATACAATTTTTACCTATGTGGTTTTACTTTATGAGTCGAAGGCCTCAAATTTGTTGAGCAGTTAAAAATGGTCATATTTTTCTAATTGAAAAGTATTAGTCCAAAGATACTTTTTTCTCCACAATCAAATACAATGGGCAAGCAGTCCAACTTGGATGTAGTATGATCAGCAGAAGGTGAAAGCAGAGTACTAAGGTGACAAAGGTGACAGTATCAGTGCAACTACAGAGTATACATTCACATAGTTATTTAGGTATGCAAACTCACTGATTTTATTTGTAAATATTGTTTGTAGCACACTTCTTTCAGTCTTTGTGGTATGTCTTAATTGGCACTTGAGTAAGATAAACCTGGCCCTGCAACCCTGATGCATCACAACACCCACGTTCATCTCATTATTGCTATTAGAGAGAGCACAGTGCTGTCATTAAACACTGAGGAACTTAGGAGACACTGTCGACACTATGTCACAAAATCAATTTGCAAATAACTTCCACTTACCTTCGGCATTAATCAAGCTCCTGGTGCCAAGCACCTCCCAGACCAGGAGAGGGAGCCCGTGGATCAAAACCAGAGATTCTTGCATCAATTTAAATTTAGAAAAGGTTCTCAACTTTGCAACCCCTCTTAGTGAATCAAAGGAATATTCTCTTATTAAATAAGATATATTGGTTATTAATATATTTGTTCTGAATATTAAAAAAAAATTAGCCACATTCCTCTAAAAGTGTGTTCTTATTTTACTCTTATTTTAGATGAGACAGAAGCAGCTATGGGACTGCACAGATGAAAATTAAAACCAGCTAACAAAATCTGTAATTTTCACTTTTTAAAAGAATCTCTTGACTCACTCTTGTTTCACTAGTTTTCCAATCCATTTCTTTAATAATATTCTAGCACACCTGCAACCACAGTATCTAGGAGCCAGCTACAAGCAGGTTCTGTGCATTGGAGTACTAAAATCACCTACAATATTTATAGCTTCTCTCAAGGGCAGCAGTCAGGCTGAAAACAACTGTGGGTTTCCTAGCATCTAAAAGCCAACCATTTTTAAGGTAGAGACACTTGGTAATTTAGGCAAGGATCCAAACACTATAAAGATCATCTTTCTTCCACATGATTTTTTAGCATGTGCAATACAGAAATTCACAATATGTGACAGCCAACAAACAAGGAGAGGGCAGCAGTGAAACAACTGTGGTTTTGGATAAGATGGAGCAGTCACTGCCCACAGGTAAGTCAACATAAAGAGATTTGTAAGCATCACCTTGTAAGTGATTCTCCTAAACAGCAATCAATCCCATCCTGATGAGTGGGATTAAGCAATCCAAAGAACGAGTTCTGACACTGCTATAAACAAAGCAAAGAGGGTTCACACTTAACAGCACAGTGGAGAAGAATCTGCCTTGTTGTGCAGCTAACAAGAGAGAATTAAGGCACCAACATGGAAAAGGGAGATGGAGAGGAAGGGAGAAGCCAACAGTGTTCTGGTGTTACTGGAATACACTGTCACTTAGCAGTGAAGATTGATTACCCAGGCCCAGAACAACAGCTGAACACCACGAGCTGTTATTTTACAGGTGACCTCCTAGCCCCAGCTTTCATGGTCCACCACTTCTCATCCCAAGCATGCCACCAGGAGTTCTGCCTCCTCTACATTTTAACATTTTTTCTTTCCATTTCATGTTCCAAAACTATAAAAATAACCACTGCTGTCACAGCACTCAAACCCCAACTTAATACTGGAATAAAACTTTTATTTAACATTGAGAATTATTTGAAAAAATAAAACTCACTTGTTTGCTTCTCTGCTGATAATTTGCTTCTCAGCGAGGTAAGCATTCAGCTTCCATGGTTCAATATCCTATTTTCTTTAAACTGAATTACTAACACAAGACTAATCTACAATTCTCAAATTAGGAATGCAGGTAATGTTTTCCAGGGACCACGGTGTTATGGTTTCTGCAAACAAGACTCCAGAATCTACTGGGGTTCTGCTGTTCCACACCACAGACAACACTCTGGGCTCTTTTATTCTCTGACAACGGATATAAAGTTATATTCTCATTTGAGGCTTGCTATTAAAAATCAGGACCAGATTCTAACTCCATTTGTAGGGTGAGAAGTCTGTTTATGTAAAAATGACAGTTTTACAATACATCAGGGTACTGAGGGTCAAATACCCATACTGCCAGTTGATATCATTAGGGTTTGGCAGAAAGTTATAAAAACAGAACCTGCTGTTCAAATCTCCATACACAAGCATGATATAGAAAGATTTCCTAGGAAATGCAACAAAAATGCAACAAGGGCTACTGCATTGCCTTATATTTTTAATATAAGAAAAATTTGGGGGTTAGCATCTGGTTTTGCAAGGACTCATCATTCCCTGGTGCACGAAGGAATAATTAGTTTACAGCAAGCTTTGCACCAACACAATTAGTCATGTTGTCCTGTATTCTGCTTCAAATGCAAAACCATCCCACGTTATTGCCATGTATTAGATGAGCAGCAGTGCAAGTCTTTCCTATCAGCTCTTTCCCAATTGCTGGCATAATTAATAAAGAAAAGCATTTCCCTTTACACTACAAGTTTTGAATATAGAAAGCTGCATATTACTGATAGATATACTTGTTAGAGCTGGTGATCCTCAAGAAAGGAGACAGCTTGGACTACAACAAGACAAAGAACCTGCAGCCTGTGGTATTATTGAGAGCAGAATGAAAGACAAGACCAGAATGCAAATGAGCTGCCTTTCCTTAGACAAGAGTTATGGAAATCAGGTTAAGGAATATACAGAATTTAAATTTTTTGAATGTTAGGTCAACTTGATGAACAAACAAAGTTTAGTAAATAAAGAGTGTCAGGAGAATGGAATTTTTTCCTTTTAAAAGAAGAGGGATTTGTTGAAAAGTGCCCTGGAATTTTAACTGGGAAAAGTTACAAGCTGGATGTAAAAATGTTTTTATTTTATTGTACCTTTTAAGGAATTTTCTTGTACTTTTCCCTGTCTTCCAGTTTGCTGGGTAAAACATATTGCATTTAGTGAATCCTTGGCTGTGATCTACCATGGGAGACTACAGCTGTTTGTGGAACTGAACTCAATCAAAAGAGGAAGAAAATAAGAATTACAGACCATTCCCAAATCAGCAATCTCTTTCTGTTGAGCGAGATTTGGAGGTTTCAGATGTTTGGTTTTTCAACAAAAATCTGTTCTATTCTTCCAAAACATATATATCTAATGAAGTTTTCAACTTAGTCAAAAACTTACATATCTTCAATTTCATTAGAGCAAAGCACATTACTGCTTTAGATTTGCCTCTTGAGGAGCAGTGTAAGTTCCAGGGTTTTTCTACAGCAGCTCCATCACTCTCAGAGCCACCTCTGAACACAGAATTTCTGCTCTGCAAGAGCAGTGGTGCTGAGCCATTTGTCCAGATGATCCACCTACAGCCACGTTCCCTTCCTGAGGAGCAGAGTCAGGTAGATCTGAACCACATCTTTCACAATCTGGAAAAGTTTGTGTTAGCAGAAGTGAAGAAGTGAAGACCAAAGAATGAACTTCATCCTTTAACTGAGC